GACAATTAAAAATTTGCTAAACATTAGTTTTCGTGATAAATAAGTCATTAAATATATAATTTCCGATAATAAGATGTGATAAGAGTAGCAGATGTGCTGTACTGAATATCTAGAATGATGATAAAATTATTTTTGAATTACACGGATTTGATGAAAAATTTTTTAATGATAAAAGACATACTTCATTTGCAGGTAGTTATCTAAAAGTAATGAATATCCCAAATATTATTGAATTCATTTATTATCAACTTGAAAAAAATTTCAATATGAAATGATTCAGTTTATTGCTTTGCTTAATAACTTTCAATTAATTGCAAATATTGAAATGAAGACAATATTGAAGTACATATAACATTTTAAATTGTTAAGTTAGCAAAGAATAAATTGTTGTGATAAGAGTGATAATTTGAAGAAGGAAAATTTGACAGATCAGTAAATGGACGGTGATAAAAGTCAGTATGGAAATAAAATTTAGTTATTCATCTGCAAAATTGCTCCATAAAATAGGCATATGCAAACTAACATGTAGTCCTCATTAGAATGAATAACAACTCAAATTTGTAATAACTTTAAAAAATTTCATACTTTTATAGTCTGCAAATGATTATAGACATGTTAAGAGTTATTGAATAGCTCATATACCTGTCTTCATCAAGAGTATTTCAAGCAAAACTCATTAATTCATTTTGTTATAAGTAGCAATTTTGAAGTAAACAAATAAATTTTGAAGCAAATCCATACAGGATAATAATTACTAAAAATTTGAAAATTTGAAAATTCATCAATAAGTAAACTTATCAGACAAATTTTAAAAAAATTACTACTATGCTTTTTTAAAACGTAGAAAATCATGAAATATTTATATTTATGAAAAATATACAAATAATTTTTGTGAGCTGCAAAACATGAAAATATTTTGTGCATAATTTTAAGTAAATTAAATTCAACAGAGAAGAGTAGTTTAGTTCGCAAGATGGATTGAAACAAGTATTAACAAACAACCAGTTTTCAGCTCATTCAATCCATTCCTACAGAAGAATTTCAGTACATATATTTAATGAAAATCTGTCCATTCTTTTAGAAACTAAAAAACTGATAAATTTTCGTTTTTTTTTCTGTACGTTTCAATTTGCAATTTGCAACTTTTCTTGCAAATCACAGTTTAGAGTGCATTTAATTTAATAAAATCATTGCTTTATTAAAATAAAAATAAAGTTTCTCTTTTTACACTCTGAGATTAATTTATAAGAACTATTTCTGTGAGTGTACAAAGTGTTACGATCAAAAATGCAACGAAATGGAAAGTACATCAGTGAATAATTATTCTATCAAATAAACCTATTATTCAGTACTTACTGAGTAAGCAATAACTTGTAATTATTCCGCCTGAAATGCTTTTGATAAGAATAATTTGTATGATTTCTAGCCCAATTATTTGAAATTTAAAAAATCAAAATGTTATTTTGTATTAAATATTATTTGATTATTTAGCTTGACTGTCCATCTACTTCCATTATGTGTAGATAGAAGTAAGTACTTGGAATGCGATATAATCTGAGCCTCAATGTTAATGCGATCCTTTGCGTTAAAATTTAAATGACAAATTCAAATTATACCCGTGATATTTATTGCTTTCAATTACTTTTTTGTATTTTTTGTACGCTTTTTTTTCTTATTTTCTGTATTTTAAAAAATACAATGATTGCTGTGCTATTAAAATTTTCCTTCGTTCTCTAATTCTCTCATTTACTGAATGCATTCTCTTTTCCTTCACTTAAGCGCAATTCATTCTAAGCCTCTTTGCATTTGCTTGCCTTTTCTTTACTTAACAATTTTTTATTTTATTACTTATTTACGTCATCAGTTATCCACGCAATAATATCAGTTCTCAGCACTATTTGATTATGTCAATAATTGCTTGTTTTTAGCTTATAGTAAAAGTTCTCTTTAATACCACTCACTTTCATTTGGCATCAAATATGCACAACAGAGAGTAAATCAATCGAATGATAATGTTTGTCACGTACGTCAAATATTATTTTGCCTTTGTTTTTTTCTGATCAATTTTTTGAGCATGATTTCAGTATTATCGATGTTTCAAAAAATACGATCAGCTGTCAATGATTATAGATCATTAACATTGGTTACAGTATCCTCATTTCTAGCAGGATATTACGTGAATAAATATGTACCCCAAAAAGCTCACGCAGCTACTACTCAGGTTAAGTTTAAATCTTAGGTGCTAGATTTACTTCATTTTTTAATCATACAACTGTTAGTTATTTTTTCATGTAATTATTTAATTTTTGTTTCTCAGGTCTTGAAAGTATTCTCAGTTGAAGATATTAATTACGAGTTAATGAAGCCTTAACAAACAGCTGTCATGCATAGAAGTTTGCCTTTTTTACTATTTTGACTAGTCTTTTTGTATTCAAAATATCACGAAATACTGTATTACTTAATCTGTTCCATGTTTTTTTAGTTTCGAACGCAGCTCCTGCCTGCTCCTCCACAAACTCCAGATATCAATAAAATGAAAGATCAGCCATCACGTGCATCACAAATAATGCGTTATGGTTACCCAGGTTTCGACAATTTGTGCACTTTCGAGGATTATGTTTTATCATACGACCGGAGGAATAGGTAGCATTATAATCCAAAATTGAGTAGTAAACTTCATTTAAAACAAAGATATTTATTCTCTCTTCAAAAATAAGTCTTCTTACCTATTAAGAAAAATATTTTATGCGGCAAAACATCGGGCTTGGATTGTTGTCAACTTGTGGTGTCTGATTTTGCATACTAGTAAATTGTGAAAACTATTTACAATGCATTTTACTTATTTTTTAAAGCCTAACACTTTTTACTGATATAAAATGCATTTAAACTTGATTTGATTCCAAAGAATTGCTCACTGGGTGGTTGAACACTTAACTCCAGACAGAATGGGTTATGATCCGTCTGTTGACCGATCCTTGTGTAATTTTCATGAAGATCCTTCAATTCATCCATACTTCAAATCCACAAATCTAGATTATAAGGTATATGCTGATCTTTAAAGTAGTTTTGTAATTGAGGTATAGAAATATGTATGACAATATTGTGTCGTTGATTTAAAATTGCAACGACATTTTTGATATAAATAATGAAGACAGGAAATTATTTACACATCCTATGTACTGATATTGATCTTCAAATGTATATTGTTATTATAACTTACATTTTTCTTAGGTTTAGGGTAGTGGCTTTGATCGGGGCCATTTGGCTGCAGCTGGTAACCATCGACGATCACAGTTAGCTGTCAACCAAACTTTTTTGCTTAGCAATATGGCTCCACAAGTTGGAAAAGGTTTCAATAGAGATAAGTGGAATGAATTGGAGAAGCATGTCAGGTAATTTAGTTCGGACAGCAGTTTTTTACTTCGAAAAGGTTTATGTAAATGATATAATACGCTTACAAGCTTTTCGCGAGAGTGTTGTTTTTATGAGAATTTTCCATCCAAGCTTTTATTCATGTCTTAAACTTGAGTTCATTTTTCGTCGTGGTAGAATGCTCTCAAACTTCTAAATTCTAGGAAGCTTGCAAAGAAGTATAAAAACGTTTATATTTGCACGGGACCGCTATACTTACCACAGTTAGAGAAAGATGGATCATTATACATTAAATACAAAGTAATCGGTCCGAATAACGTTGCAGTACCTACGCATTTCTTCAAAGTATTAGTTATAATAATTTGAATTGATTCATAATTTTATTTCCTAAAGAACTTGATTCTTTTATTCGTGCATAATAATGCAGGTTGTGCTTGTGGAAGTTGAAGATGGAAGATTCGAGCTTGAAGCATATGTTTTACCAAACACTGTAAGTTTTTCCTAGCAATCTTGTCATTGTTAAAGGATGTAGTTCAGGATTCAAGGCTGCTAATCACAGCATAAACTTAAGTCATTATCTGGCTTTTTATGTGGTCATGAAAAGCTGTTGGTAAAGCAGTATAAATTCCCATAGAAAGTGTCTGACTTAAATTAATTTTGAGAGTAGTAATACATTTAAACATTTAACTAATTTTTTTTGTGCATAATTACCGTGATTTCTATAACTTCAAAATTGTAATAATGTATATTGTTTTCAGGCAATACCAGATAGTACGCCTCTTACTGTATTTATGGTACCACTAAACACAATTGAACGTTCTGCAGGATTTTTAATATTTGAAAATTTACCAAAAAATGCATTGAAAAAAATTAATGGAAAATCAACCGCTTTATCTCGATAATTATAATTGCATTTTGTATTTTATTTTATCACTCGTTTGGTACAACGAATTTCGTGTCTGATTTTCTGCAGTTTTATGCAAGTTGTGGTTAATTTACTTACTATTGTCTTTGTTTCGGTAGTTTTGCCAAGTATTTTCCAAATAATCATTTACCGATAATTTAATACGAAGTATTTTTTTCGAATGAGTGATTATTTAAAAAAAATTAACAATTATATTTTGTAATTTTGCTCAATTTCTGTGATATGATAATTGTGATTAGTCCTGCATTGTTAAGAGAATGTACTGTTTGCTGATGATGAATCACAATTGATTTTGTATTGTTTTGTCATTTGCTATGTTGTTTAGTCATGTATTGTGTATAGTAATACTGAATTCTGAAACCTTCGAATTGCGAGAATGTCAAATTTGAGTTTTGACTCAGTAAATGTCTAGAATATGTGAATCTTGTATTTAACTGGTCACATATTTGTGATTTCTCACCTATGTGAGTGCGCATTTGTTTTCAAATCACTAAAGCTTATTAATCCTTCCCTAGAAGTTTTGATTTTGGTCTTTTTTCACTGTGATTTTCAATAATTATGATTCTTGCAAGTTAAAAATAAGGTTGAGGTGTTGAAGTGAACAAAAATTTTATAAATTCCTGTAAAATTGTGCAATTCTAGTTTTTTAAGCCTTACTAATTAATAAAGTGGAGCTCATAAGAGCACGCGTATTGTTTAGTAATACTGCTTAGGTTGTCTGGCTGAATATTAGTTTTTGACAGTCAAGTTTTGATCTAATTCTTGAGAAAGATGCAACTTTAATTCTTAATCATCAAAACTGGATAGAATTTCACGCAAGACTAAGACAAATTGAAGAAGCAACAGGTAAAGCAGCCAATATTTGTTCTTCTTAGTATACTTAATGTTTCTGACCTGTTCATTTATAGAGAGTATTCCATAATATGGCAAAGGAAATTCATACTTTTAGTCACGCAATATATTCGTAAAACCAACTATTTCGCTATCGTTCTTGCAGTACTTGATCATTAGTTTATGTAATTAACAACTATAATAAACTTCATTCGCACTGGAAAAATTCAGAATAATGATGTCTTTTATATACTCATGTTTATTTTCAGGACTATGAATAAAGTTTTCTGTGAAATGATAAAAGGGAAGAAACCAAAAGTGGTTTTTAACTACCTGCTAATTTCAAATAATTTGAGTAAATATTCCCATCGACATTAATTAAAAAGTTTTCATTCACATCAAATATGAAAAAATTTTAATTGCATTATCAGTCATTGAATTTGCCAAGTTATGAGTGTGTACGTTCGTATTAGTGACTTGGGAATTAATTTACTGGTAGTCGTAAAATTGTTTTTGATATTATTCATAATTTTATGCTCGATCGATACTATATTATTAGCTTAGCAAAGTTGTAAAATAAGCTCTGTCAGAAAGTTTGTTGCAAGCAACAAGTAAAAAGATCAAGTGCTTCGTTTCATGTGCAATGTTTAAGCAATTCTTTAAACTGTATTCGGAATTTTTATTTTTATTGCTCAAAATCATTCACACTCAAATAGTCGTTGAAATTTAAATATTTTGCGCACTAAAAGCTGAAAAGAATGGAATTTTTTGAAGTTTTCCACCAGTTCAGAACTGCACATTAACTTAATTTTTCAGAATGCTGAGGAGAAAATTCTTCTACATAAGCAGAATATACATTCAAATTATAAATGTTATCTAATGAATCACTTGGAAATTACTGATGAGATTTGCAGTTTTTCTTTATCAGTTAATTCAACCTTCTATTTAGTGTATTTTCATATTAGAATTATAAGTATCTAATGAATGAGCATTGTAAACAGGCATCAGAAATCTAAAGTGAAAAACTTAAAGGAAATTAAGCTAATTTTAAGCTGAAATTTGAATTGCTTTTTTATCATAACAGTTGGATTTATAATAGTAATTGATTTTCGATGATTTTATCCCAAAAATAATTAATAGAATATTTTGCATACAAAATTCATCACTGCACTAAACAGAAAGTTTTACAAGAGTAGGCATGCAAATAAAACTGGAAAATATTCAGAATATTAATTGAATGCAATAATGATGACTGCTTCCATAATTTGATCAGTTTTAATTAATCCAGAGTGACAGTCATAGTTAACATTATTGTTTACAAGATCAAATCGTTCAATTTGACTGCAATCTTGATCTCAATCTTAGCTGACCAAGTGAAAAAATCTCTTCGCAGGTAATGACTTTGATCTGATCAATTAAGGCTTTTTAATATTGAAGACTCAAATTGTACCTATCTGCCAAATTCAGTAAGCAAGCGTTAATTTTCTTTGAACACATTAATAGTTTGATTTTAAGGCTTTTGTATGTATATCCCCATGTGAAATGAAACTTGAAAAAATTATTATAGAACTTTGACTTTGACTTTAACTTTCACTTGTTTTGTCTTATTTTATAAAAAGATATTGTCAAGAATTTAAAGCGTTTTAGCCTCAATACTATTCAAATTAATATTTATTTTGCAAAGGAAATATAAGCATAAAAATTTGAGCTAATGATGCTCTCTTTTAGTAGCTTAGACTGTTTTTCATATAGCGGTTGTTTATCCAATGGCAAAAAATAAGCTTTTTATGTAAAATACATTTTGATTCGTAAAGTATTTTTATTTCTGAAGAAAGCAATTTCGATTTTTCAAATCATAAAATTTTACACTTTTTGGGCAATAAAGCAAATATTTTTCCTTGGTTTTTTATCATAAAATCAAATCATAGGAGCAGAAGGAAATTTAAAAAAGCATCGTTTTGACAGTATTTCCAAATCTTAATAGTACCAATAAATATCTGATATTAATGAATAATAAAGCAGTTGACAAAATAATTTAAAAATGTTAAACACACTTTTAAAACAATGTAATAATAGCACTGATAAAAGTAGTTGTTGACAAACATTGCCAATCACTATATTTATGCATGCATCTCAAATAATATTCAAAACTTGATGCAGTTAGACTTCTGAAGCCAATTTTTTGAAAGTAAAATATCATGAAATACTTTACTTGACTTTAACTCTAAAATACTCTTGCAAAAAGATTTGGTTACATATAGTGAAAAAAAAGTTAGTTTCCAACTTAAATATTTTTAGGTAATGTTATTTGTAATAAATCTTTTAAGGTATCTTTGATTTCATTTTTATTTTATTTTGAATAGTTTTTCTGAAATTGATCCGCGAACGAATAATAAATATCAAAATAATATTTAAAAACTTTGCTGATAGTATCAAAAAATACTTTTTTGATGCTTCTAAATAATGATTTTAGATTTTACCTTCTTAAAATAAACATTTTGTAAAAGTGCTCATTTCAAATACGAAATTTTTTATGAATGCATAAATAAGCACAAAATCATCATTTGAATTATTTTATGATTGCCAATAAGTTTATCAAATTTTAGAACTTTTCTTTGCAAACAAAAAATTTTCTAGGACGCTTGAATAAACTTATTAAGAATAACTAATCCGACTAAGCAAATACTGAAAATTATTTGTAATAAAGTATTTGAATTTGAATTTCAGACAGTGAATCAAGAGTTTTATTCAAATTTACTAAATGCATTTTCTGCCAAATTTTGAATAATTATACTGAAATTTGCGTCAAATTGTTTTAGCATATGAAATTTTTCAGTAGAAAAATCATAAAAGATTTATGAAGCTATTGTTATAAAGGAAGAAATGAGCATAATACAGTACAATTACGAGCTTTTGGAGATAAAATGAATCGGTACTGTACTGGGATGCTTTTTCATTTCTACTAGTTTGATTGCGAGTTTCGTCTGATTTTTACTTCGCTCAGTAATAATTGGAAATTTCTTCTAGGAGATGCTTTCTGCGGCAATTCACGATGGCACTGATATATAAACATATTAAAATTATACTTTTCAGAGTTTTTTTAATTAATGACAATATTGTACACTTTTGCTCTATTTGAATTAATACCTGATTAATCCCTTGTGAATCCAAAGTTAGAAATGATATAGATTTTAAGATAGTGTTTTCAGTGAAAACAAGAATAAAGTTAGGTAAAGTGTTGGATTTGGACTTGAAGTTGAAAAGTAGTAAGCAAACTCTGCAATGCATAAAAAGTTAAAATTGGCTTGAAACCAAAGTAATAAGCTTCAATATGCTAAGACACATGAACAGCGATGCAGTGGAAATTATTTACTTTGTGCGATCAAAATGAAATTATACAAATTAATTAAGAATGTTGAACAACAAATTTTATCAAAAATTAAGCAATAATCTGAGTTATTTTTCACCTTAATTTCTTGCTTTAAAGTATTTTTTGAATACAAAATTGATTCTGATTGAAATTAGCATATTGTAGAACAAATCTCCTGAATTAATTTGCAAATATATAGAAGCAGTTCGGAAAAGTAGGTGCAGATAACATAAGTAATCACTATTGAGGTTACCTTGGTGATCAGATTATATAAGCAGAAAGCTGAGCTACGAGATCAATTTATTACGAAGATTTCTGATATCTTGGAAAAGATTTATTCTGCACACATGTTTACAGATATGTTTTTTATAGTTGTATATTTCTTCAAATTAAAAAATTACACAACGCGAACTGATGAGCTGCAAGATTAAGCTGAATTGTGTAAATCACAGTCATTATAATAACGTCGAACAAATTACTTGCAATTGCTAATTACTTTACTTTTTAAGTAATTAGCTTTTTGTTTATTTTAGTTATTTTGCTAAGATTAATATAAAAGCTGTTATGAACTAATTTTCTATGAAAAATTTGCAGAAAAATTTGTGAGAAATTTTTTATAGAGAATAAAATGAACAACACTATGCATCTATTTGTTTTTACATGATAAGTATTTTCTTCGCTAAAAAATAATTTTAAAATAGTTTGCTAAGCTTTAATCTGTTTCACTGAAAATTTTACAAATTGCTAAAAATGTGAAGCGAAACTTTTTTATATTA